GTTTTAGAAATACTTGCTTTACTGTACATAACTAATGTTACACTACCAAGACATGCTTAATCCAGTGCTCTTGCCCCAGAGCTGGGCCTCCCTGCATTGGATCTTCTTAAAGAGATTCCTCTTGGCAGTGTGTGTGCACAGCCCAGCACATGCTCTGAAGGCTGAACCCTGAGCTTTACTGAAGTTAATGGCACAATAGAGCAGGGCTAGGATTTCACTCCACTGCCTTCAGGTTTCAAATGCTTTCAGCAGATGCATCTCCAATTATTTTTTTCCTGCACATCTGGAACACAAAGTAGGGCACTGGATTATTGCAACACAGAGCAACTTACCTACAGCTGACTTCTTCCAGAGCATGAACACCACCACAGAGTTCTGCACTTACTGAGGAGATTCCTTTCAGATATACACACGGGAAAATACATCTCATTCTATGTTTTCAAATTACAGACAATACAATGCCCTCTCTCCATCTCTACCTGATGCAAGCATATCTCTTTATTCCTCTCAACACAGAAATAGAAACCAATAGAGTATTTTTATTTTTCTGCTGTGCTGTAGGAAACTGCATGGGAATTTGCACACTGAAATTCACATGCAGCACTTGGAGAGAGTTTCCCTTCATTTAGGCAGCACAGAAATGACAATGATGCTTCTTATGCTTTGAAGTCTCAGGAAAAAAAGGAAAAGAAGCAAAGGGTCATTAAAATGCCTTTTCGTTCTTGATGGATAGTGGCAAGAGGGGATGACAGGAGAGGAAGTAATCAAGAACACCAAGGTCTTGCTTTCAAAGCTTCCTGCACTGGATGATTAAATTAATGTTTGGTGGGTTTGCTGCAGCTCAGCTATCAGAGACCCAAACATGGGAAAGCAGCAAGCTGTATTTTATGTACAACTTGGGAAATGCCAACAGCAGTGGGAAGGGTGTGGAAGAGCAGGTACAGACAGAATAGGCAGCAGGTCACAGGAGAGCTGAGGACAAGGCAAGAAGGACAAAAGCAGTTTGGCTGGGAGTGAGCAGCCAGCCCAGGCAAGAGGCCTTGGGCTGGACCTGGAGAGAAGTGTCTTAAGGCAGAAAAACACATACAACTGCGCAGGGAACTTGCCCTCCACTTTGTAGGTGTTAATAGGTACAAATTCTCTGCAGCACATGGGGATTTATGAAAACTAAATATAAAGCCCAACTCCCACTGACTGTCATTTTGTCTCAGTCCCCACAGAACAAAGATTTCATCTTTTACTCCTTTCTCTCTCTGCAGGAATCAAGGCAGCTGACCCAGTATGAAGATTCGCCTGTGAGAGGTAAAAAACAGCCCAGAGAAAAGCCTTCATTTCACCAGCAGGTTCATTCAGAGAGATCACAACACAGCACATAAGGGGGCCATTGTTTCTGGAATAAAATCTCCATTTGAGCTCTCTTCTCTGGCCATGATCAATGGGAGGGAAATAAAGTCTCATCCTGGGAAAAAAAACAGCTTGCTAACACTGTGTTGAAAGATCAGGTAATGGAGATGCAGAGCAAGAGTAGGCACCCACATAATCCATTGGTGAGCTTGAGAATGCTGGAGGTAAAAGCTCCACAAACACAGGCACACCCCTTATCATATCCTAAGAGAGACAACCAAGTCAAGGGCTAGGAGTCCTAACAGGAGGTGTTGGTATTCCACAGTCCTTTGATCCAGATTTCAGCTCCCCACAGCTCCTCCCAGTGCAGGGGCATTTAAATTCCATGGGTGCTTACACAGCTGCCTGTTCAGCCTCTGCATTTTCTGTCCCACAGATGCACAGAGCCAACCCAAACAATTTTGAGCCCTTTGTTCTACATAGCCCTGGGGTATTCTGAGAGCACAACCCATCCTCCTGACCCAATATGAAGATTCACCTGTGAAAGGTACAAAACAGCCCAGGCACCTTCCCATCTCCAATAGGCACATCAGTGAAAACCCACTGCTCTCACCACTCAGTGATGATGGCAAGGGTTCTTTCTACCACCTGCCAAAGGATGGATTTCCACCCTCCAAAACTCATCAGACTAAACACCCACAGAGAACCAACCCTATTTCCATCATGGCCACAGCATCATAATGACCACCTCCTCCCCCTCTCTGTTTCAGGCTGATGCTTTGAAACAACAACAAGAAAAGGAGCTTTTTACCTAGTAATTACTGGTTCAAGAAGCAATGTCTGCTGCTTGGGACTAAGTCTGAAGCATCCCTGTCAGCCTCTGGCTGACATAACACATAACATTTGCCTTCACCCTCTCCCAGACCCAAATCTCATATGTATTTTACTAGTCAAAGCAGACAGGAGTTTAAAAGTGATTTGCTGCCCTCTCCTGTGCAAGCCCCAGTGACTGTCAGTATTGTAGTGGCTCTGGAGACACTTTTCTTCAGCAAGCACAGCTGCTCCCATGCAAAAAGAATGGCGCTGGTGTGGAAGCAAACAGCTGTGACAGGGCAGGTTAGAAGTGATCATCACCAGATGAGGATGGCAGATCAACTACACAGCCTGAACCATTTGGTATCCACAGAGGGCATTCCTGGCATTTTGGTTTTGTAACTCTCAGGTTAATTTTTCTCTGTAGAAATACAAAGAAATACCTCCCAGCATATTCTCTTCTCAATAGTCACAAACATTTCAGAGCAAAAACAGACCATGAGATATAAAGAAATAGAAAAAAAAATTATTTGTAGATTTAATTTGTAGGGCAATTTGAGGAGTTTTTTTTGGACTAAACCCACTTAAATCTTTTATGTCCTCCAGTAGTGCTCTATCCTCTCCTTCCAGGGAGCATGTACTTTACCTAGACATACAGTATGTACACACACACTATCTTCAGAACAAAACATTGCAAGCTGCTGCTTTCAATGCACTTCCCCATGATAACTAACCTTTTGCAGAAACCTGTTAAATGAAATTGTGCTCTCCATTAAAGCCCTCCAAAGTAAGGCCTATGAACCTGAGGGAGCCTTTGTTTCCATATGCAAATAAAGACATAAAAAAAGTAAAAGTCACTTCTAAACATTTCTCAAATATTTGTTTTTTCTATGTACCCTAGGACAGATAAGAAGTCCCATGATGTGGAATCAACACTATTTTCTTGGCATTCTCTCTGGGATGCCCTTCACACTTCAATCCTGAAGAGAAATAGGGGTTTAGAGAAGGCTAGGCAGCCTTATATTAATGACCAAGAAAAATGCCTCTTAGAATTTGTAAACAATGCAACAAATCCCAGATCAGGCTGCCAACAAGGCACCCACTGAAAGTTCTCACTCGGGTACACACTCAGCACACAGCTCTGACTGCATGAGAGGGATGTGCCACACTCCATACTATCCCCAAGCACTGCCTAATCTCCAAGTGCTGCATGGAACTGGCCTGTCCCAGTGACCAAGCCCTGCAGTGGGTGACAATGAGTTGTTGCCTGTGTGTACAGATGTGGTATTTCCATCGCACGCCTGAGGGTGCAGAACCCATGAAAGTGTAAGTAAAAGAACAGGGGCAGGTTCCCAAGGGTCACATGGACCCAGGCAATCTCTAAACAAGGGTCTGCAGCAATCTTGAAGTAAAACAGAACCACTATCACCATATGGTACGGGGACTGCGGGATTATGGGTTAAAATTCTCTAGGCTCCAAAATCAGCTTGCTTTGCTTTCAAGTCTTCTTTTTTCTGCAAAACATGCAGAAGTCACCATAAAGACAACCGAGAAACAAGGCATTTGGAAGAAGAAAAAAGCAGAGTGCCTTCCCCAATGTCATCTACCAACCATTTGGTCCTTCACTTAGGAAGTGCTGACATGCTTTTTAGACACCTCAGGTTTGGAGGTCTGCATCATGGAGACTGCAAACACCTTGGTCTTGTCTCCCAGGCTTCTTTAACCTGGTAACTTTCAGAGAAAGGAGCTGCTTGAAAGCATCTGAACCTTTGGCAAGGCAGCAGACTGTCCAGCAGGCCTGGCAGCCCAACCCTGCATGGCATGGACTTGGATTGGCCTTGATACTAGAAAATTATTTGCAAAGCAGCTTAATAGCTTGTGTTTATTATGTTTGCCATATTTCACCGCTGCTTCCCCTTTGAAGCATCTGTGCATTCTTGGACAGTGTCCTTTCAGAATGAAAGCCAGTTCTCCTTTCAACAACATCCCAGCAGAGCAAGAAAGCATCTGTGACATGCAGATTCCAGAGCCAGGAGAAGGCAAGATATGCAGGCTCTGGATTTATGGATTAGACATGCTGCCATGGCACACAAATCACTCTGCACTCAGTGCAATTCATTATCACAGTGCCATGGCTGGTCACATTTTTCACAGGTGCAAATAATGCCAAAAAGGCTTTTAAACTTTCATGTGCCAAGACTTAATGATGCAGAGTCAGGAGCCCTCCTGCCTCCTCATGGGAGCAAAACCAAAGTCAGCAGTTGCTCTGTCTCTCTGGACACACTGAGCCACAAAGGATTTTCAGCACCCCATGGCAGTGTTAACAGACTAAGCAGTCACAGGGCTGGGACTGTGCCTGCTCCCAGTGCAGCCTCTCCCAGCAACTGAACCTGTGGTACTGCCCACATGCACCAGCATCATCTTCTAACTCAGGTAAATTCAGCTAAAAATCCGCAGCCCCCAAACACACAAGGTGTTGCAGTGAAAAGCCCCGGGTACTCAGGGCGGTGGTGCCGAGGAGCTGAGGCGGGAAGATGGAGGCCTGTGGGTCCCCTCACGGCGCCTCACGGAGCACCAATTTGGACCTCTCCACAGAGGAGGCTCCTCAGTGGACCTGTGTCCCTCCTTGGAGGTCATGGTCATAGTGATAATGCAGGGGATACTGGTGCAAGAGGTGCAGTCCCCAGAAGAAAATAGAAATCTGAGTTGGACCCCCATTTCCTTGGGTGTCTTGCTGCCACATCCAGTCAGGCCAATGACACAAGGGTTAGTGCTGGAGGGACACGGGGCACAGCAAGGAAATGGCAGAAGGAGACCCCAAGGCAGAGCCCCATGTTACTCACCTCAGTCAGGCTGGCCCGGTACACACAGCATGGGAAACGTCCTTCTCAGCCATCGACCCCACCCGCGCGCTGCCCGTGAGGGGACGCGCAGGCCTCCATTTTGCCGCCTCAGCTCCCTCGGCACCGCCGCCCGGGCACCTGGGGCTTTTCACTGGTGCCTTTGGGGCTAGCGCGGCCCTCTGGGCTGAGCCGAGCCGAGGTGAAGCAGCCTGGGGCAGAGAAGCCCCAGGACTCCCTTCTTCCCCTCAGGCGGCCCCGGAGTGCCCGGACCGGCTCCTTCAGCTCCTTCCCCGTCACGGCTCCCTCAGCGGCCTGGGGCAGCGCCAGCGGGCCGCTAGGGGGCGCTCGGCGGCCGCGGGGCAGCGCTGCGGGCGGGGCTCGGTCACTGCCCCGGGTCCCACTGCCCCGCCTGTCCCGTGTCCCGGTACTGTCCCTGTTCGCTCACTGCCCCCGCCTGTCCCGAGTCCCGCCGCTGTCCCTGTTCGCTCACTGCCCCCGCCTGTCCCGTGTCCCGGTACTGTCCCTGTTCGCTCACTGCCCTCGCCTGTCCCGTGAACCACCCCTGTCCTTACCTGTCCCGCGTCCCACCACTGTCCGCACCTGTTCGGTCGCTGCCCTCCCGTGTCCCGTCACTGCTCCGTTACTGCCCTCACCTATCCCATGTCCCATCACCTTCCCCCGCCTGTTTGGTCACTGCCCCAGCCCGCCCCATCCCCTGCCACCGGCTGCCCCGTCCCCACCGCTGCCAGCAGCCCCTGGGCAAAGAGCCCTTCTCGCGGCCGAGCTGCATTCGCGTGTGAGCTGAGTGGGGAATGGACCCCCCTGACTTGGGTTTGGGGGCTGAAGGGCACAGGTCGTTCACCTGCTGTCACCCCACAGCTTGCTGGCCCCCCTAACGCCCTCCCCATTCCAGCTGCATCACAAAACAAGCAGCCACACAGCGGCTTTACAAGAAACTCCTGTTTCTCCTGGCCCATGGTAGAAGCCAGCAGCTCCCAAAGTTTAACTGTAAGGTGCACTCCAGTAATTTCTGCACCTGCCCTCAGGATTTGTTTTGCTTGGCACAAACTCTGAGGGAGCACAACAGAATGCAAGATACCCAGTGCAGAATAGAAAAATAAGCCATTTACACTGTTGTGCATAATTTTATTTAAATTTTGCTTTATTTCAAAAATAATTAAGGGACACCATAGACAGCAGTAGGCATATCAGTGGGGTTTGTAGTTTGAGCCTCTCAAGACCAAATCTCTTGTGCCAGGTGCCATACAAGCACAGTCAAACAATTCTTGTCTTCAGGATGAATTTCTCATAAAGATTCAGGGCCCCAGTCTCACTCAAGTCAGTATTAAAACTAAAATAGACTAAAAGGAATGCAGATAAGGTAAAATGAATGGGCTTCTAGACATGTCCTTCCTCTCCCAGAACAACATTGGAAAAGATGCATCAAGCAAGAAGACATTTCCTTTCCCTTTTACTTGGGAAACCAAGGCAGGAGAAGACTAAATTCCTAGTCCAAAGATCTTAATGCTGTCTGTGGTAGCAGAAGGAAACTCTATTTCTCCATTATCCGAGCTCAGTAGTCAAACAGTTCACTGCCCACCTCTGTCCTCACCTGACCCAGCACAACCAGAAGCATCCTCAGAAATATGGCTGGAATACTGTAGAAGAGGGATTGAGCACTGGAGCCCCTGTGAGCTTATGAGCTGTTTGAGTCAGTTCTGGTTGCTGTACTTTATGACTTCCTCAGTCTACTGAACCACTTCCAGCTCAGACAAGCAGTCAAGATCATGCTAAAGAATTTACAGTATTGAAAAAACACGAGATTGATTCTTTAGGAACACAGCAAAAGTCTGATCAGTTCAAGTTCTGCTTCAGACTGCTGTCAGGATTAGATGCTGTACTAAACTGTCCTCTCTGGGTATCACAAACTACAGGACTTTGGCACAGCATCCCCCAAAGGGAGGAGGGTCTTCTGTCTCATGATGTTAATAATTGTTGGAGGGGTTTATTGAAGAAGATACCCAAGGGTCTACCTGCTAATCTAGTTCTTGGGTGGTGCTCCGGGCTTCAGCGATCATTCTCCGAAATTTCTGCAGGTAGACAATGATGAGGATAACCAAGATACCCTGGAGGAAGAGGAGGATGAAGAGAGAGAACTGAGAGAGGAGAGCCAGGCTGCAGTACCAGTGCTGGCATGTGGAGACAATCTCATCTTCTGTCAGGTAGGCGATGATCCGGCCCTGCAGGTGCTCCGGGGAGCTGCACCTCACATCCCTGTACAGGCTCCGGTTCTGCTGCCACTGGAGCCAGGAGCGCAAGTAGAGGATGTCACAGGTGCATTCCCAAGGGTTGCCCTGCAGGTAGACTACCTGGAGGCTCCTCAGGTTGTCAAAGAGCCCATTGGGAATAGAGGTGAGCCTGTTCGAAGCCAGGTGGATGATTTCAACTGAAGGATGGAATGCAGAGGGCAGGTTTTCTACAGTCAGGTTTTTCAATGAGCAGTCAGTAATGTTGGTGGTGCACTTGCATGGCACAGGGCATAAGGATGTCACGAGTGGGAGGAAGCCAAGGAGGGACAAGAGAATTCCACTGTTCATTTTCACCTGCAAACACTTCCCTGATGAAAATGGATGAGGTGCAGACCAGACACCACGCACTCTAGGACTGACACCACAGCTAAGGTCTTTGGTTGTTTTGTTCTGAGGATGAGTTTCTGAAGTTGGATAATTTGGTATCCTCCACTGGAGATGCAAGAGCTCTGAAAAAAACAGAGTTAAAAGAGAGCAAATTCTGGTCTCTTGCTACAGGTGAAGGAATTTTCATGGTCTTCCAACCTGGATTTGAGGAGGGATATGAACACATGGCTACTGGAAGGCTTAGCTGCAGCCATCAATTACATTTTCACTAGTCCTCAGAAATGTACAAGAGCTGTTTGTGTTTTTACCACTACTGGAGGCGCATTATCAGGGCAGCCAAGAAAATTTCTGTCCAGGAATCAAAAACTAGAATATGAACTTTGTCGTGCTTTATCATAGCTCTGGAGCAAAGTTTCATTCATACAAACTGCAAGAGGAGATTCAGAAATAAATCTACTGTTACCGTGAGTAAAAAATAGCCTTTCCAGCCTTGAAAACAAGTGATAAACAGTCTTTGGCTGCAGAGAAGGTGCTAACCACTGAGGATGGAGGCCAGTGGAGTTTTTCATGATAGACACTGCTCCAGCAGATGAATAATCACCTGTGCTGGGAGACATTGGTCAAACGAGCTTTTTTTATGTTACAGTCTCATGCCACTGCTGAACAGGAGCTGCTGTAACTTCTCCAGGAGAATAACTATACATACCAGCAACAAGGCAGTATTTTTCTGTGCTTGACAAATTGTAATTGCCAATCAATCAAATAAAATTTTAAAGAAGAGTAGAAAGTAGAATTATTGACTTACCAGAGTAGTTCAATCCTTGCTTTCTTGCTGGCTTTACAACACAAGAGAAAAGTCTCGAGGCAGTCCAGCCAGTGCAAGAGTGTGTGCATAGCTGTGGTCCCAGATAATCCCCTTGCAGCTGGCTGGCAAGATAAGGGTCAGCTCATCCCAGGGACACCTCCCACATGAGGCCTTCCTGCAAGTCTGCTGCATGTCACCGGAAGCTGAGGCTTCACTGAGCAAGTCTTCCAAGAAACGGGAGCTGACACTGCTCACAAGAACACATTTGCTGGGAGAGGCTGCCAGTACTGATAACTGTGATTCTGGGCCACAGGCTCAGCCCAACAGAAATGTTACCAAGTCTGAAGGGCATAGTAACTCAAAATGCACTTCAGAGTGGAAGGTGGTGTTACTGGTTTGTACCATACTCCCTCAGCACTGTGACCTCTGGTTTCCCATCTCATCGGGAGAACTTGGCAGAGTGGTGACACCTAGCACTTTCTGGGTGCTGACCCTCAGGTTTCCCTTGAAGCAGTGACACAAATCTAGTACTTATTAGTGAAAGATCTGCTGATACAGGTCTTCCAGTTCCATCCATCTTTCTAGAGAAAGATTCTTCAGATGGCCCTTAACAAGTGCAGTTACTGAGAAACACTGACCCCATGCTTTATTTAGAAGCTGCATTACACAAATACTTCAATGGGAAGTCCCAGGATCAAAACTACCTTCAGGCAGAATAATGTCTTCTCATGACCATTGCATCTTCACAGACACTTCTCTGCCATCAGCCTGACCAGGCATACACTACACTCCTTAGCCTTAGGCCACCAGAACCACATAATGGAACTGTTGCCCCATTGAACTCAACTCTGTTACATTGTACTGGGGATACCCTAGAGACCAGAAATTATAAACGCCCTGAACGTGCTCATGTTAAGAGAATTGAGGGTGCAAAAAGTGGCAGAATGTGGCCCTAACCAAGGGAATTTTTTATGCTCTGGAGAAAACAACTAAACTTTAAATTTCTACAAAATTGGAGCAGATAATTCCAGTTGTTTCACTGTGGTGGCCAGGCAGAGTGGGAAAGATATCTTAGGCTAACAAACTAACCCAGTTTTTCCTGCAGAGTCTGCTTTCCACTTGGGAGCAGCTCAACTACAGCAGGGTAAGTTTGTTCAGCAAACTTACCTCGTCTCATGTGTTCAGTGCTCTGTTTATTCACAGGCAGGTGCTCAGGCCAGGTGTGGCATGGAGCTGATCTAGAGCCAGACCTATTGTGGCTCTGCATGCAGCATGGACTTGGCAATGTTCTCCTGGCTACTTACAAACTGGATTTCCTGGGACTGGATCTTGCCAGCTGACCACTGATGATTTAGATACCACTCCTAGGGGAAGCTTGGATATAGAAGAACCTTCAAGATCCTCTTGGCTAGCTTCTGGAATAAACAGGCCAGAAATCCCATGCAGGAAAACTGCCTGAAACCTGCTCTGACTGAATTAGATAAAAGGAGAAACAGGGTCAGTTTTGCTCTCTCCTGCCTATAATGTATCACCAATTCTGCTCAATGGGGATGAAAATTAAACAGAAAGAGGTTGGATTTTTGAATGTATTTATTTCACTGATCAATTCAGGTAGTAAACATTAATAATAATAACAATAATCATTTAATAAAATGGATATGTTTAAAAGGTTTCATTTTCTTTGTTCACAATGACAAAATGTTCAAACAGAAATTTACAAAAAAATATAATTATAATAACCCAACAGATGGACAGGAAACATAGAGCCTAGGAATGGAGCAGGGGGTGAGGAAGGTGCATGGCAGGAGCAAGGCAGCATTAAAGCACAGCAGAGTTTGTGAGGAAGAGCAGGGAATGCCATTGCAGAGCACAACGAGTGGGAGCCCCTCCTTTGAG